TTAGAGATTAAAGAATGCCCTGCATGTCTCGGCCTTAATGGAAGATAATTATTGTTGTACCAAGTCATCTCTTCCTTCTGTCTGGGTGATAAATGAGCAGTTTGGGTTTTTTGGAAAAGGAAATGTCCTCTTGTTGTAGAATGAAGGTTAAAGCCAACACATTTATTGTTAGAAATATCACCCTAATGCTAATATGTGTATGAGATTATGCAATTTCTATTCACCAAAGGACATCATTGGTAGGGTTCTCATTGTCAAAATTGCAAGGATTACCTAGTGACCTCAATTCTTGACAAAAGTGCAACATAGTAAATTTGTTCTATAAACATTTCAATCAAGTGTGCAAAGTAAAGGCTGGGGGTATCGTTAAAGTATAATTTTTCAATTTTATGTTTGATTAAAGAGGGAAGTTTGTGACACAACTTTTATGAATTTTAAAATTGTAGGAGACTGATATTTGAAAAGCTAAGAATGAATTTTTTTTTAAAATTGAATAAAGAGAGTATTCTGTAACACAATTCATATGAATTAAATTGTAGGAGACTGATAGATAACAAGTTTGTATGCGACTGTCATTTGGCCTGGCTGTCTCAGTGGCTGAAGGAGCACCCTAGCCTGGGTCTGTACACGGAGTGTTCAGCCCCGCCCAACTTACAGGATATAGAAGTGGATGAGGTCCATCCATTCAGCTTCCAGTGCTCTGCTGGTGAGAAAAATCTGTCTCCCTCTTAGTCAAGAAATGAAACATTGTACATGTATTGATTACCCCCCCCCCCCCCCCCCCAAAATGCTGTATGGAAGCTGTAGGACTTAAAAGGGAGCATTAAATATACAGTAAATTATTTTGACAGAAGTGTTATTTAAAGGTGTGGCAGTGTTGATTTATCTCTAACTTTCTCTTATTTATGGACTTTAAGGTCAGGACACTGCACAGCAGCACAGTGATAGATGTTCCTCCGTGGCTTCCTGTCCCAAAAAATGCCGCTGTAGTAATGGCGTAGTGGACTGCCGCAACGCGGGACTTACCGAGTTCCCGTCATTGTTTCCTGATGATGTTACTGAAATGTAAGAAATGCTCATTCAAGTTGTACAGTAATTGTTGAGCTGGTTTCTCCCTCTGAAAACCCTTTCTTTTTTCATTTAATGTACATATAATTCTTGTTGTCACTTTAAGTTAATTTTTCAGAGAAAAATTTTAAGTTATCCAGGCTTTTTCATTCACTTAATTTATTGTGGGAAACCAAAAACCACAAGCCTGGTATTAAGTTTCAGAGAAAATAATTCTCAGCAATTGAATATTTGTTATCTTAATTTTGTATAAAATTTGTTTTGACAGTCGCTTGGAGCAAAATCACATTGTCATCGTCCCCTCCCGAGCTTTTGCTGATCTAAAGAAACTTCGGAGAATGTAAGTATACGGTTAGTGTAAACAAAGCTTGGCCATCTCTCAGCCAAGTATAACAGGTAGAGAGGAGGTGTCAGGACCCAGTCAAAACATCCTTACCAACTGTTTTAAAGGCCTCTAGATAAACCATGCAGTGTCACAGGAAAAGTAAAACAATTAAAAAAGCATGATCAAAAAGATCAATCAATCTGCAATTTCCCCCCATGCTGTTTGGGGAGGATCACATGACTTATTGTGTGGGGTCTTGATGAGTTGGTGCTTCATCTGGTATTAATGTCATTCTCTCACTCCATGTATTGCAACAGCACCCCCTTTACTGCACAGATGTTTTTTGACCTTAGTTAAATATCATGGCATACCTTTTTAGATGCTTTGTCACAATGTATTTAGATTAAAAAATTTTTGTTTCATACATGGCACGTAGAACAAATTTGACTTGTTGAAGGGTAAATTTATGTTATTAATGATCTGGGTGGACAGTTTTATGATTAAAAAGTGCATGAAGAGAAATGTAGATTGACAATTCTATGATTTACATATTTTTATACAGTAAAACTTGTCTAATCCGGCGACCAGTGGTTCCAAAATTTTTGGCCGGATTAGACAACATCCGGATTGGAGAAAATTGAACCATTATAGCAAGTTAAAAATTACTAACAAAGTTAACAATGAGCGGTAAATAAATATTTGATCAAATGTGTCATTTTTTACGTTTCACTTGAAAAAAAAATCATCTATTTCATTTGTTTTGAACGATATTTGTTCTTCAGAATTTTCATTTCTGTTTAAGTTTTTTTTTATTCAGTAACGGAATATAATATATATCTCTTAGTCATTTATTTAATTTGAAAATCGTTAAATGTTTTAAACACACTCCAAAACCTCATCGTAGCTGTTAACATATTTTGTTAGGGACAGATCCCTTATTAATTTTTTTCTTTTAAAATTGATATGTTTGAATATTTAGACACTGTATTTGTTAATTTCAAATGTTATAATGAATATTGGACCAAAATCTTCTGTCGTTATGGTCGTTGTAAACTAGCGACACAAAGGGAAGTAATTCAAATTGGACGTCATGCACGCAAAACGAAAATAGAAATGAGGTCATGAATGAGTCTCCAAATTTTTCTTCAGACATGCTACACGCAACCATCATTATCACTCATTCTTTTGAGAGTTTCCTCGCCTTACTTGAGCCATAATGATTTTTTTTAATCACGTTTGTTAAAATCTAAACTGTCGATACAGGATAGATCATTAACGGGACAATAATTACCCCACGCGAGACTTCTCTAATGACCAGCAGGCACAGGTAAAAATAAGTGGCCGGATTAGAGGAGATAATTTGTACTAATTATGAGCAGTTAGTTCTTTAAATAGCGGCTGGTTTACAGAATACGCAAGATCCGGATTGAACAACTTTTATTAAACATAAATTATAGAGAAAATTCAAGGGACTAAAATATTACGCCGGACTGAACAACATGCCGGAATGCACAACATCCGGATTCAACAAGTTTTACTGTACAAAGACTTTATTTTTAATTTTCTATGTAGTATTTTTGACTTTTTTCTGTAGTAACTTGAGCAACAACAAAATCGGGGAGATCGCTGCTGATGCCTTCACTGGTCTGACATCACTTAATTCTCTGTGAGTACCAATAACACTGGTTAAAAAAAATTGCATTTCTTTTATTGTTTTAGTGGAATTTTTCATTTCAATTGTAGATTGCTTCTAAGATAATACGGTTGACTATGTGAAATTTTCGCAATAGTTGACCTTAATAGTCCCCTAGAAACCAAAAAAAAAAAGATAATAATGTGATGGCCTTACTTACTATGATTATTTGTTACCAGAGTATGAATCTCTCATTCACACAGGGTGCTTTACGGGAATAAGATAAGCGACCTGCCTCCTGGCCTGTTCAAGGGCCTTTCTTCTCTACAATTACTGTAAGTATGCAAGCTCAAAACAGCAGTTTTATTTCTTGAACCCCTTTTCATTTTTTTTTTTTTTGGTGTCTGTTGAGAAATTGAAAATGGTACCCACTGTGACAACTGTGGCAAGATAATCAGATTTTTTATAAGTGCCTGCGATGATGACGAGTTTTTGTGGTTGACTTCATCATACAACTGCAGACATTTAATTAACATAGAAAGATGATTTCATTCATTAACCCCCAGTAGAAATGTTGGTGCACTTTTTATAAGCATGTGACAATGAGTCATTTTGTAATTAGTGGAAAACCATTAGTATTAAGTTGAACTTTCTAAAAAGTAAAGACTATTAAGAAGTAATATATGGAGAAGTTTTATTTGTTGAAATTTCTTATAAGGGCAGAAATGTATAGAAAGGGTGACAAAGCATTGTTTAACTCAGAGAAAAGAAATTGCTTTATTATTTCCTTTAAAAGAGATTATATTTTCATGTTTGTAATTGCTGACTTATTTAGTTTAATTATTGAGAAGAAACATGTCTCTGTTAAAAATTTAATCAACTGTGCATTTGAAGAAATAAACATTGATGCAGTTCATCAAAGTTTGGATCTAGCAAGGATTTCGTGAATACAACATTTTGTTTTAGTAAGCCTGTTTGATGTTACACAAACCTGCTCTGGGACACGTCAAATTGATTGATATCATCCTGTAGTATATCCATTAGAAAATCTAGCAAATTGAATGAGCCACGTACTTTTTAAACTTGAAATGAATTTAAAATATTTAAATTATGTAGGGAAACTTAAGTGAGATGTTCTTGATTTAGAGCTTAATTAAATGACCTCCTTAGATATACTTGCTTTTGTAGATAAAGAAAAACTTTCACCTTGTTATTTGTATATTGTGAGAGGTTCTGCATGGAGCATTCATTAAATACCTATGTCATTTTTTTCTGCTCTCTCTAGACTACAGAAATATTTCAATATACTCAATCTCCTTGCTCTCTTTTCAGCTTGCTAAATGCAAACCAGATAAAGTGTATACGAGTAGATGCATTCCAAGACCTCTCCAGTCTCAATCTTTTGTGAGTATTGCCCCTCCCCTTTCTATATCGCTGACCTATTCAGTGCAAAAAAAATATTGATAGTGGATTAGGAGACGAAATTGATTAAAAAGTCCTTCAGCTGAGTTCAGAGAAGGGCATGAGATAGTTATTTACGTAATGTTTACATTTGTAGAAGATGTAGTAGCTGATAAAGAGAAATGTGTGGCTTGGAACATTGTTGATAACATTCTGATTTTTAGACGTGTTAAAAGTAATGAGTCTTTTCCACGTAAATCTGTACGTTGTATATGCACTACAAGGTTGCATGTGCAGAAATCAGATTAGGAACTGCATAAAAGAAGGAGAAAATAAGTAGAGATTTGATTGACATTTGTGTTTAAGTCTTATTTTTTTAAAAAGAGATTTTTATCTTGATGTGCTGAAGTTGGCTACTGTTTGAGGTGTTTCATCCCTAGGCTTTTCTGTGGTCAAAGCCTTGAAAAAATTGTTTGATTTAAAAAGTAAAACTATTAGGATCCAAAAAAAGTGAAATAAAGGTATTGCGTGGGGTTTATATTTTAACTACTCCAATTTATAAGTGTAGGGTACAGGTGTATATATTTGAATTTGCCATAGTTTTCCATCTTCCAATATAATGGAAACAATGGTATGATGTCACATGAAGACCAAGAAGCCTTAAGATGTATAACTAATTTTCAATTTTCAAAAAAGTAATAATGGTTATAGTAATTAAAAGAATGTGAAAAAATAAATATAATCTAAAAATATATATATCACTTTTATACAAGCAGTTCCATGCTTTATGGAAGAAGCATAGTCCTTTTCTTTTTCAACAGTTGGAAAATTCAGGAACATTATAATTTAATTGTGAAATTGAAATTTATGTATAACAGTATTTACTGAGTATTTAGAGTGTAATTGTAGGTTTCTAATATATTGGTTTTAAGTTCTTATCTGCACATTTTAAGCTTTGAATTATCAGAACATGAATGAGAGTGCAAACATTTACTACTTTACATTTAAGTTTTCTTTTTTCATAGGTCTCTTTATGATAATAAGATTCAGTCCTTAGCCAATGGAACATTTGCTCCACTGAAAAATATCAAGAATTTGTAAGTATATATTCACATAAATATACATATATGTGCATGATGTCATAATATATTAATTAACTTGGTATCATCTCCAGGATTTGTTAATGCATTACACTATCTTGACATTAAATATGTTATAATTGATATCTCCTACTTGTTTGATGTAGTGGAGAAAGCCACATTAATGAGATTTTTTTCGGCTTTCTTTAGGCACCTGGCCCGTAATCCATTTATCTGCGACTGTAACCTGCAGTGGCTGACAGAATATCTACATCAGAACCCAATAGAGACCAGTATCGCACGGTGTGAGGCTCCAGGCCGCATGAAGCGCAAGAAGATCGCCACAGCTAGAGCTGGAAAGTTCAAGTGTAAAGGTATTTCCAGAATTTCTAGTGCACTCACAGGAATCACCTGGTTCTTGTGTATATAAAACCAGAGGATGAGGATTATGTAAACCAGAATGGGGGTTTGTTTTAACAGCAGAATTCTGTATATGTTCCATAAACACAGCTTCTTTGTTTTCCCAGGTTCAGAAATGCACCGAACTAAGAATGCAGGGCAGTGCTTGATAGACATTGAGTGCCCAAAACAGTGTGTTTGTCAAGGCACTGTGGTAGATTGCTCTGGAAGACATCTCACCAAAATACCAGAAAATATGCCCATTTATACCACAGAATTGTAAGTTCATGGTATCCCAGTTTAAAACATTATCAAGAATTAAAGAAAACCTAAACATGGTATTATTTAAAGTGGAAGCCCAAATCCTGGTTTTTGTTGGGGACCACTGCGAGTGCCTTATTGTGAAAATATTTCTCCCCATCCCCCATCAGCCCATGAAGACTTTTATCCAATAATTAACTTCATTGGATTTTTTTTTTTTTTTTTTTTACATACAGACTTCATTTCAAAAGTTTAGGATGATTAATGAATGATATAATATTTGGGGTTAACAGGTCAAGGTCAAAGATCACAAGTACTGATTTGAGCAAAGTGGGCGGCCAAGGGTGACCTTTAACATTATGAAATGACTATATTCTTAGTAAAATGCCCACCCATACTGAGAATTTTAAAAGTGCACAAAAGTTGAATCATTGATACATTTTTTCCTGCCAATCCATTGATGCATGGAAGACCTTTGGTTTCCGGAGCTAGTCGGGGTGAGCGATTCTGAATGTAGACATTACAGTAACGGGAGGAAGCTGATATGATCCATAACCTAGTGATAACAAATAGTCACTTAATGCCAAATGTTATCTGCGGGACTTCCTCTATAATTGATAATGGGTAGATCTGTAATTATTCATAAGTTTCCAGATTTTTGTCACTGATTTGTTTAATGCACATCGTTTGCATAATGAAAACAGAATAAGTTTTTTTCCCCTTATTTTCAATAACTATCCTGTCATGTGATTGCTTTTTGACATTAATTCATTATTTTATTTAGCTTTTTTTCTTTTCAGAAAACTTCAGAATAATCAAATCGATAAAATTGAGGCAAATGGCTTATTCAGCAAACTCGTTAATCTACAAGTCTTGTAAGTAGAGGCAAATTGAAAAATTGTGAAAGTATTTTTTTTTCTGTTTAAATTCCCCACTGTAAATGTACAAGCTCTCTGCAGCTAAAATAAATGGGATCTGATACTGTAGAACCATGTCTGCACACTGATAAGATGGAAATTGACATATCATTTGATGTAATATTGCAAGCCAGAATTATCTGGAGATTTTGTTTGACTTTCATTTATTGTTCTTCACAGCAAGGGAATGAAACATAATGCATTTATTCAAAACAGTGCTGAAATAGCAGAACATTTCACCCAAAATTAGAGTGATCTTTACAGCTTTTCAAGATTGTCTATACAAACTTTTTGAGAAAGAGTTTTGTGGCAAAACAATTTATTTGTTGTCTTTCAGAGATCTGAGTAGTAATCGTCTTACGGAGATAGAGGCAGGCACATTTAATGGGGCAAAGAAGCTGATAGATGTGTACGTTCTTTTTTTGGTAGTTTTTTGTTTTTTCTGTTTCGCATATGTTTCATAGGCTGCTCGTAAAAATCCTCGAAGTAAAACCTGTCATATCTTTAATCATTATTCTTATGTCAAAAAGATTATTATTTGAATATTAGTTTATTAAATCAATGTATATTATTTAGTCTTTTTAATGAAGATTATATGGTGACATCCATCTGTATTCATCATTAATAAATGATTAATTATATCAAGGAAAGGAAAGATTATTCCTCAAGATGATTTAGAATTAAAACCCAAAACTAATAGATAACAAAAATAATAATAAATTTTTCTGAACCTTTTGCAGAGATTTTTCTAGTAACAGAATTGGGAAGCTCTCAGGGAAATCTCTCCGTGGTCTGGAAACTGTCAGAACCTTGTAAGCATTATCACTCCAACCTCAGAAAGTAAACAAGTATATTTACTTCAGAGGAAATTATCACATCTTGGTGTATCTTTCTTTTCCAATAGGCATGTGAATGCAAGAAAAAAAGGATAGGATTTATGTCTGTATTAATGTATTACATAATTGAAGAAGTTCTTTTTCTACTGATGATCAATTTCTAGATGAAACGCAAGTCATTTCATAACGTCTTTGCATACAGATATACACATACGTTTTTAGAGGAACATCACTCTGGGTGAAATTAAGTAAATAATTTACAATTAGGATATATTCCACAACCATCAAAAAGAGTTATGCTTTCTGACTCAATAGAACAATTTACTCGAAAAATGATTTATAAAGCTGATGTTTTTCTTTTAAGCATTGATAGAATTCCGACAAAACTTTTGTGTTACGTTGTGACTAGAGACTGATTAACTATGTAATTGATTCATGTACATCTGTTCAATGTCTGCTTTTACAGGATTATTGAGAAAAACCGAATTACCTGCCTGAGTAACACAACATTAAACTCTCTGACAGAGCTTCGGCAGCTGTAAGTATCAGCACACAGCAGCAAGAGAAGGGGAGGGGGGGATTCACTGAATCCTCATAATACTCACCCTTACTGCTGTGGAAAGCACTGGAAACTGGCATAAATTCTTTATTATCCCATAGGGAGAAACAAATTATCAAGATCCTAATTCACTACCCAATAATATCTGAGAAATCATTAATAACAACATTTATTTTTTTTAAAAAATTGTGAAACATCAGTGAAAAACTTGTAGAACAAATTCTCCAATGTCTTATCTTTTAATTAACTTGCTCTCTTGGAATTCCCACAAACTAGCAGTGTATAGCCTCCAGACTTTTACATTGTTTTGAGTATATATCTGATGAAATTCCTGCAGTTACTAATTAGTGACTGCACCTGTTGGATTTATTGCTTAAACTTGAATCAAAATCAGGTGGAAGTGCTGCTGGGTCAGCTGATATTTCACCAGAACTTTATATAGTCTAACGATGATTAAGTTAGTCTAACGAGAATTAAATTATTGAAGAACACAGTCATTATTCTGACTGACAGAGGAGGTGGATAGTAAGAAGGGCTGAAATTAATGAATTGAAGACAACTTCTTGATGACAGATTATCCACATGCCAAATAACTTTCACTTTCAGCTCACTGTATCTTTATTGTGTCACCTTTGCCATTATTTTTCTGCTTAATATGATTATAACATGGATGTAGATTTATCTTTTGGGGAGGTTAATTGTTTCTTAATTCATAAACACACCTGTTGCTGTTAAATAGACACTGAGTTATGACAAGAGAAGGGGAATATTAATGATGGTCACCATGTATCATTCTAAACATTTAAAAACACCTTGGTGAGCTGCAGACACGGGAGATCTCATCAACTCCATTACACACATGTTAAACTGCCATCGTAAACAAGCTGAGGAGACAAGCTCAGAGATAAGCAAAATGTTATATCTTTGAAAGCAGAGGAAATGATATACACCAAAAGACTCGAATTTCAATTGATGAGCAGTTCCGTTGAGTTTGAAGTTTGCCAATGATTAAAAAAAGATCTGGTCTGCTTAATATCGATGATGCAATTTTAACTTTGTCAACAAAGAACTGACTGGAATGTATGTTTGAGTTTGCAGCAGAGATGGGGGATTCTGTTTATCTTCACTAATTTCTTCAAATAACAGAGAAACAGATGATCCATTTCATGCACTAAGGCATGCAGACAGTAGCATTGTTACAGGGTATTGTAGAAGACAAGCATGTGTAGACCCTGTCACGCTCCTGGGCTTAGCTGCAGCAATTACAAACCAGTCTAGCTGATAACAGACATGCATTAAGATGTTTATTACTGAACAAAGCTTTTCCTAAACAACCATCATTGTCACGCACCATTTAGGCTTGTTGGAGATAATTAGGGGTGTAATATAGAGCAAAGAGGAGGGGGCCATGCAGTCAAATTTGATTGAAAGATAGATTATGTCTTGAAAATTTATTAAAACTTGGTATCGCACACAGAGAGGTGGGGGAATAAATTTGTTAGCTGCTCCCAGATAAATCTTGTAAGTTATAAAAAAAATTAGAAGATCAACTTGAAACGTGACATGAAGATAGATGATTTTAGCATTTATACCTATCTCCTGATGTTGGAGAAAATGTTGACAGCCTCAAGTCAAAATATTCATTACCAAACTGATGAAAAGGTGAAGCCTTGTTTTTTACATCAATGTCTGTTATCAAAGAAGCTTATTTTTTTCGTCTGGTGTTCAGATATTCTTAAAATGTATTCTAACTGCTTATTTTAGCAGATGTTTGGTTTGTTGCCCTGTAAATTGGACTGAATTGAAAACAATCCACCACCAGATAAAATAATTTATGAAATTTCTTAAAATAGATGTTCCATCCCAATTCTGTAATTACTGCAATTAAAAAAAAGAATATGTTTCAAAGCATCTTATTGTTTTGTACAGAATTGATAAATTGATATTTTTTTGTATTTGCAGGTCTCTCTATGGCAATGAGATTAGATGTATATCGGAGGGTGCATTTGATAAACAAGCTTCTCTGTCTATTTTGTGAGTATTTTCTATCCAACAAACTTGAAAGTTGTTATCATTTTAAAATATTGTATGGCACCAGAAGGCTTGAATGAAAAAATCATCTCTTTATGTGGAGGCATTTTAATGACTGCATACTGTGTAATATTTCATAATTTTGAAATTTCGAAATGAATGTACTTATAAACCTCTGGTGTAAGTATACGTGAAATATACCACACTCCCTACCTTGTAGAGAAGGCTGTGATAACAATATGATACATAAAAAGGGGAAGGATTGGTCATTTAGATAGAAGTGAAGTGATCCCATTGCCTGTGTTATTTGTAATCTTGTAACTTTTATCATGGTAGATAGTGCCAACCTTACAAGCCTAAGCTTTGACCAGTCTCTTGCCTTCGTTCACATTTCAAATCTTTTTCTCCCTGGAACAGATTCAAAAAAGCATTTTAAAATCTCTTTTCCCATGAAAATTAGAGAATTTACCTTTTTTTTCTCTCTCACAAGTATTCTATATTGTGGGAGAGGAATTTTATATTATGAATCCTTTTTTTTTCCTGAAATAATTTTTCTTTTCATATTCCCTTCATTTCCTTGAAAGAGTATTAAGTGAATTTTATATCACTGATGATAGTTTAATGCCAGTGAAATGAAGGTAGCCTTGATAGCCTTATGTTTGGTTGTACATAAACTTGGTTATTGCTATAAAAGATAGAAAAGTCTTCTCTTTTTTTAAGTTGAAAGATTTAATGTGAGTTTAAGATCAAGGACAAGGTCATGCATAAAGGTCATGATTTGGGTTGCACTCAAAAGTCTTGGTTGGTTTCCACTCAAAGGTCAAGATCTACTCAGGAGTCAAGATCAGGGTCACACTCAAGAGGTCAAGATCTGCACTGAAGGGACAAGAATGAAGAATGAATATGTCACGACTTCAGGATTTTTTTTTTTTTTTTTAATAAATGCTTTTATATTTGCAGAAACTTGGAGTCTAATCCCTTTAACTGTAACTGTCACATGGCTTGGCTGAGTAGCTGGTTAAAGAAGAATAATGTAATTGCTGGTGTCCCTACCTGCTTCCTTCCATCTCGTCACAAGAACGTTCCCGTACTAACAATTAAAGAAGAAGAATTCATCTGCCCGAGTAAGTTAGTGTAGAAAGTACACAGAACTATGCTATTGGTACTTATAAAAAATTCCTGAATTTGATTGTAAATTTACGTGATAAATGGCCCTGTTTTAAAGGAAAAAGTTCTTGAATTTTATTAGGATAAGATTAAGTCCCTCTTCTATCCACTGGCATTTTATCTCTCTTGCTTTATGCATCATGAAAATTTTTTGGCCTTTTGTTGGGAAAAAGGGTGAAGAATGCCTTGTAACTTCAAAGGAGGTACATTATGGCAACCTAGGGTCTTTGATAATGTGGAAGTATACTGAGAAAAAGGCTAAGACTTCTAGGCAGAATAAATTTACTGCACTGCAGGTTTTTTTTTCTTTTATAAAATTCCACTCAGCAGTTTTTGCCCTCTTTTAAAAATTGGTGTAATGAGTAATAAATTATCTAAAATATTGACCAAAAAATTATCACTAGGTTATATTTTTATCTTAAATTCGTTATAAAGCATGTAGCTGAAAATAGATTAGTATTTAGAAATCAGTGGATTTTGGACGTGTGACTGGCATGCACTTGATTTTACAGCTGATGCAGATATTGGATGTAACACTGGAATTTCCCCCTGCTGCTCAGAAACCGTAAACAGTGAGTGGGTTTTTTCTGTTAGCCTGTCGTAGTTATCTCCCTTTAAAAGCATTCTGAAAATAATTGAATGATCGTGTAATTAATTGGATTCCCATGTTGCAACCTTTTTGATACCAAAAAAAGCAAGCACATATTTCCCCCTCCAAGATTTTATAGTGGGAAGTTTATTGCGTTTTTCCTTTCTTTACAACATCTTTTGTCCTTTGATCAAGTATGCACACTAATGAAGTGGGATGTTTATATGTACTAAGTGAATGATAAACCTTTTTATAGCAGCCGTTGGTAGCTGTGACCCCCGGGCATACTGCCCCCCTAGGTGTACCTGTACAGGAACAGTTGTGAGATGTAGTCGCCAGGGTCTTAATGAGGTCCCCCCACTAATTCCAGAAGACACCACTGAACTGTAAGATTTTGTTGACTAAATTTATTTGTTGTTTTCATGTTCATTTGTGTAAATCTGAATTTAATGTGTTACTTTCTGATTTTTTTAAGGTATTTGGATGTAAATAATATTAAGCACCTCCCTTCAGAAATTGGTCGTCTGACAAAGCTTCAGAGATTGTAAGTTTTCATCCAGAGAAAAAAAATTGACATTTTTTTTTTTCTCTTACCTGTGCTTTGATTTGTTTTTTATTTATATGAAATCTGTTTGAAAATTAAGGTCATTATTTTCTCATTTACAGAGACCTCAGTAATAATAATTTGGTGACCCTGCCTGATCATATATTCTCTAACTTCACCAATTTAGCCACATTGTAAGTAGATAGAGTATTAAAAAAAAAAGAAGAAAAAAATTGAAGAAAACTCCATATATTTCCAATTGTCATGTCTTTATTTTATGAATATAATTTTTTTTTTTTTTGCTTCAGAATTTTAAGTTATAATCAATTAGAATGTATGGCACCCACAAGTTTTTCTGGACTCCATAAATTAAGAATTTTGTAAGTACTCTTAGCTATATGTATAATTTGTGATTTCTTTCAAATTGTTAATAAATTTGTTTTTCATATATGTATTTTAATCTTCCATTTTTACACAGATCTCTACATGGTAATAATATTTCATCTATACCATATGGAACTTTCAAGGACCTAACTTCTTTAACACATTTGTAAGTTGATTTTCCTCATTTTTTGTGATTATATATATTCTGCTAGCTAATCACTTAGTTCTTAAAACAGAGGATACAACATTGGATTCTTATGTGCTGTAAACAGATTACTTTTGGCTGTGTATTCAATTTAGCACCTTTCACAGAAAGCAGTATCTGCTAAGTCAAGTACATCACTAAAAGTCTTGTGTATGCATATTTACATAATTAAAGAACTTTCAGAAAGAGCTAAACCAAAACTACACCAATTTGTTGAATAACTAATTTCTGCCAAATATCGTACTTGCCAAATAAAATACATTTACAGTAATTTCCAATGTTGTCTGACAGTATACACTGCTTTGTTCCATCCTATTATGATTATGTGGATTTTTTAATCACATCAGGGCCCTGGGAGGAAATCAGCTATACTGTGACTGTAACCTTAAATGGCTGTCTGACTGGATTAAGAAGGATTATGTGGAATCTGGAATCGCCTCCTGTGTGGGCCCCAGCTCCATGTTAAACAAGCTCCTCCTGACCACACAGTCTTCTCTGTTCCTCTGTAATGGTAAGAGAGAAGACAATGCTTATTATCTTTCTTGTAAGATTATTACTTTGAAATCTAAAACTGTGAAAGTTACTGAGCTAGGGTAAATGTGTACTCTTGTCTACGATGATAAATGATTAATTCTTGCATAAAAGGGTGTGTTTTTGTTAACTAATAAGTGCCATTTTGATAGTTTCATGGTTCAATTTTAGACCACTATAGAGGTTAATTGAATAAGTCTTATTTTTAATTGTTGATTGTAGGACCACCTGACCCTGAGGTGATGGGAAAGTGTAATGCCTGTCAAAGACAGCCATGTCTTAATGGAGCCACCTGTAAGAGTGTGGACTTTAAGAACTACAGCTGTGAATGTCCAGCGGGGTTCCACGGGGAAAAGTGCGAGAACGAAATCAACGCTTGTTTTATAAATCCATGTCTCAATGGTGTTTGTGAAGTATTGGATCATGGAAGATTTAGGTAACATTCAGGAATTTAAGCCTATTGGTATATTTTTTTTTCTCTTTTCTGAAAATAAATACTAGTACAAAACTGGCAATTTTAGGAGAGTGTTCATGTTTATGTTGCAATATTTCAGAGAGTCTTTATAATTGCAGATGCAAATGTAACAACGGGTTTCGAGGTGACCGATGTGAAATAAACATTGATGACTGCACAGGTCATGCTTGTATGAATAATGGTTCCTGTATAGACCTAGTGGAGGGGTATACCTGCTCTTGTGCCCAAGGTTACACAGGTCAGAAAATCATAAAGAAAATTTTGTTCCAGGATTCAAAACAGTTTGAAAAATCAACAGTTTGAGATTCTTTCTTTGTAAATAGATGATCGGCTATCTGTGTGTGTTTTCTGTTTAAAAAAAAAAATCTCAAAACAGATGCTGTCTTAATGATAAATTGCTCATGCACAAATTTGTCAGTGATAAAGTAGTCCAATAATGATTTGTTATCAAATCTTAATTGCATGTTTGGAATCTTGATGAGTTATCAATGTTAAATGTTTAACTTTTGCAGGCAAGATGTGTCAGCAGAAAATCAGATATTGCCATGGAAATTACAACTTCTGTCTGAACGGGGGCACCTGTGTGAACCAGGACACAGATTACAGGTACGCCAGAGCTGGATGTATGATAAATTAGTGGGCAAATATGTTGTTTACAAGTTCTGATAGGAGTACAATATCTCATAGTCAAAATGGATGTGCTAATATGTCTGGAATCTTTATCTCAATTATGTAATTTGGCATTGACTGGCAATTACTTTTTTTTAATGAATATATCTTTATCATTATCAGAGTTTATTCACCTAAGTACTGCATAGTTTCATACAAAGCTCTGTTTATAGACAGCTAAGACAAAAGTTTAAAAGTTAACAGCTAAAGTTATCTGTAACTCAAAATAAGTTAATGCTAAATGTGTCGGTCTATGTCTTTTTTTACAACAAAATGATAAGTTTATCTGCACACAAATTATACAAATTGGATTCTTCATAGATATATTTCATATCTAATATTTTCTGCACTCTTAAAATATCTAGATAGGAAAATTCCTTTTATATTTTTTTGCTGATGTACAAAACAAAACTCTGAAGTAGTAGCAAAGTGGAATGACAGATAACAATAACAACATTTTATCTTGCAAAACTTTCAGCTGCAAGTGTCCCACGGGTTACGGCGGAAAGAACTGCTCGGAGAACCTTGACGATTGTAAGTCCCACATATGTCAGAATGGTGGTCGGTGTGTGGACGGCCTGGGGACCTACTCCTGCTACTGTCCCCGGGGATACTCTGGACGATTCTGTGAAATAGCCCCCCTTGCTGTTAACAATCTCTTCTCTTATAATAGTCTCTGCAAATCTCATGCCTGTCAAAATAATGGAGTGTGTTATGTACCCAAGGGTGGGTCACACTACATGTGCCAGTGTGCTCCAGGTACTAACTTCAGCTCTAGTCTTTTATCCTCTTTTTCTCTTTCTTTATCTTCATATTTTACATTAAGTATCTTATCACTCTGCTTTCGAACATACACAAGAGTATATACTTCTATTGCATGGCATGGTTTCAAGATACCTTTCAGATAAACATCTTGTATTTTCTTGAATTTAATTGCATGCAAATATGCAAGACTATATCCATGACTTTAACATTTTACTCATTTGAGAAATAAATGCTTCACAAAGTTAAATTCTGTAGTCACATATTAAAATACCAGTTTGAAGATTAACGAATTGCATTACATGGATATTTTAGAAAACTTAATTCAACAGAATGACCCAATATTTTGCAGGTTTCTCAGGAAAGAAGTGTGAAAAGCTGACCAGTGTTTCATTTGTTGCTGATGACTCCTATATACAGATGCCTCAGATTGACTTTCAGTCCATGGTTAATATCACCATGGAAATGAAGACCAAGTCCGACTCGGGTGTTATATTCTATATTGGAGCTGATCAACATTTAGCGGTAGAGCTGTTCCGGGGTAGAATAGGGATCAGTTTCTTCACCGGGAAGTCCCCCCTCTCCACAATGTACAGTTACATATTTAGTTACGTAACAGTTAATGATGACCGTCTTCATACCATAGAACTTATCGTCCATCACCGTAACTTTACCATGCGTGTGGATGGGGGCGTGTCTCGGTCAGTCGTTAACATGGGGGAGAGTGAATATCTAAATGTAAAGGATGATATGTTTATTGGTGGACTTTCATCTGAAAAAAGCACGGAGGCTCTTAAGAAATTCCAGATAAGGAGTCAGACCAGTTTCAAAGGTAAGTGATGATTTCAGGGATATGTCAATTTGGTTTATTAAGACTGTTGTTTAAAAATGTTAGTAAATAGTTGATTATTTATTTTGAGTCATCTTTTCTTTGAATATGTATTTATGTTTTTTTCTTTTCTCAGGTTGCTTTCATGGTTTTTACATAAATGGAAAACAACTGGATTTCAGTTCATCTAAATATAACCATAAGGTCATGCCAGGATGTAAAGTAGATCCTTGCGCTAATAATAAATGTAAAAATGGTCAGTGTAAACCTAGGAAAAAGAAGGGAGGCTATCGCTGTAAATGTAGGAGAGGGTACTCAGGCAAATTCTGTAACCTTGGTAAGTTGGAGATATCATTGTCTCCTTAAATTTTATCCATTATTTTTACTCATTAAGTTAGTCTATTGTTGTTGTTTTTTTTTTTTTTTTTTGATGAAGGAGACATTAATGTCTTAAATTTGTAGAAATGGACAAAAATTCTAAAAATCAGAGAGTTCAACATTTTGAAGTTGAGACTCAAATTTATTATAAATTTCATTCTGTTGACTTGAGACATTCCTGGTGTTCAACACGTCAAACTGCTGCGAAAGTTTAATTGAACATTGAATAGAAAGGAAGAATAATTAGAATGCTAATAATTTTTTGTGAATGGAAGAAAGTGTAAAAAATGGATTTGGAAAGTATTATGTTTGATTGTAGGAATATTTTCAATTGCAATTATATTCAACTTTCCTGTTTTAAAATTGTCTGAAAGTAGCTCTTTTCTGCTTTAGGTTCAATTTTTTTTCCATTTTCAGTTCCAACATGTAAACCGAAAGTATTCCGTAGCAGATATACTCATCCAGTAACGAAATGTACTTCAAAAACACGCATAAAATTCAGGAGTTGTGAAGGATCATGTGGAAAAGACTGTTGTAAACCAAGGAAAATAAAAACACGTAAAGTCAGACTTTATTGTAAAGATGGATATTCATACATTCATAATCTTGCAGTAATCCGAAAATGTGGTTGTAGAAAGTGCCAGTAATCTCACTACACATTTGTGACTTCGTAACATTGTCCTTGTCATGTGTACGTAACTTTGAACAATTGTCTGTGTCAGACAGTGGTTGGAGAATCTATGTACCTGTGAAGTCCTGTGTATTTCAAATGAAGAGAACTGCCACATCAGGCAAATTATGTGTGTACAAAAATGGATGTCTGCCATCTTGGACAGATAATATTTTTGTTATGTGTTGCACTTTTGACATTCGAAGTGTGTTCAGAGTTTTCAGTTCTAACTCCAGAGCTGGCAAAAAAATGTGAGGTTTACTCATTTTGCCCATTATGATAAGAAATACAGGAAGGTTACTTTTCCTACAGTTCACTTCTCAGAACTTTCAGGGCCAGCTATGTGTAAACCTGTTTCAATGGAGTGAACATTGACACGAGAACAAATTAGTTATGGTTCACACCTGGCAAAAGACCTTACATGACAAAGGTTGTGACAGACTTGTGAACAGCACAATGATACATAAATATACAGAAACTTGTGTGTTTCTGTTCAATTACCATAAGTCTTGTAGATTTTGTTAGTGCATGTACAGCATTCTAAGTAAATTGTTTTCACTTGAAAGTAAAATGTTTGTTTCAGTATGTGATGTTATTTTGAATGGCAAATATTTATTTGAAACACATTTCAGGTGCATTGATACACATATCTTTTTTGTAATATATTGATGTGTTATCAGGTTTATCAGCTTTTAAGTAAAAGAGCAGAAATATATCTGCAATAAAGCTGATTGACATTATTGCACCTAATTATTCTGCCAGTTGCTAACCCTAAAAAATTATGTGAGAGATGAGGTAAATTAACTTGTCCTGACTGTATTACGCAATACTTTGTTGGAAGGTATGATCTTTATTGTAATGTATGTATTTCATTTGTAATGTGTTGTTGTTTATAGTTTGTAGCTTGTTATCTTTTATTTTGAATAAGAAAAAAAAACAAATTTATAATAAGTATTTTCCCAAATAAGTATCCATGATGCTTCAAAAATTGTTAAAAGGGCTTTTCTAGAATCTATTTTAAAGTAAGTGAATGTATAAAGTGCCCAGATACAAAGTTTCTTTTTTTCTTCAATAATATATCTTTTCTGCATGCTAATTAAGATGTTTATATAAATGTGATACTCTGTGCAATTGATAAATAATATGGGGACTAAAGATTAAAATATTCTTCACAGAATAACAAGAAGGGATGCATGATTATAGTAGCATGGGTGCTTATTGGGACAAGTACGGTTTTAGAAGACCTCGTGAATTGTCATGAGGCTACAATTGGACCTTCAAAGTAAACTAGATTTTTATTATTATATCCAAGCACTGCCCATAATGTTTGTCTGCAGTTGTGATTTTTTTTTTTCAATATGACCACTCATTTATAACTTGATGAGGAAAAAAAATTGTTTTGGGTTTTCATCATTTAACAATTCAGACACTGGTCTGATGTAGTTTGCCGTGATTTTTGTACCATATTGGTGTTTGTGTGGAATTGTCAAGACGAAGTACTTTCAAAGAGACTAAATTGGATAAAATGTTAAGGTGGGTTAACTTCTATGACTTTTTTCATTCTGAGAGAGAGAAAAATCGTGCCCTTGAAAGTCTACCTCAGCTGTATTGGGTTATGTTTTTACTTTATAGAATTAATGTGTATTTAAAATGAAACTAGACAAATGTACATTTATTTCATATCCCCCATCTCTTTCATTTTACTTTGTTAATCCCATTGCTTTATTTAAGAAATGCATTTTTTTCACCAACACATTATTATGAGACAAATTTGATATATCTTGCAAATTTATATTGAGAATGTTTCATTGCAAAATTAATATTTTGTACAGAACAAGAGTAATACAAACTTTGTAACTTTGTTACTTATTGTTGAACATGGCTGAAAAATAAAAGTCATTTTCTTCTAGTGCAATTATTTTCTTTGATATATAAATAGTTAAGGGTCGCAATATCAAACCATGAGCAGGAATTAGTTACTTCAAATCTTTATCCACTCTGCTTCAGCCAGAGGCATTTACTGTCCAAAACTTTGTTACAGAAGGGTTAGCATCAAACATGGCTTCTCCTTCCTTTTTCTGGAATATTCAACATGAGCAAAGAGAGGAAATTCTAGGAAATTCAGATGAAATTAAAGTTTGTCTACCCAGTAGTTGATGTTGAAGTGCTAGATCCACAGAGAAGGAAAGACAAAATAAAATTTGGCAACAGGGAGGATTATATAAATATAGTGTAACTATTTCTGAACCTTTACTTGAGAAAATGTGAGGATAAAAATCTATATAAATTAGTTATACAGTAAAATTTAAAAAAAAAAGAAAGAAACTGTTTATACTTTAAAATTGTTGATATGAATTGATGACAAATATGAACATTCACATATCGGGTAAAATTTTTAATGTTCACACAGATATGCTCTTATGCAACTGTAGAGTTTTATTAATTTCTGATAAATTTTACCTAGGTTCAATTCAGTATCACCTCTCTTTAATCAATCATACATAGTGAATTAAAGAAAGGAATGATTGAATTAAATCCATCTTCAATTAATTTTGAGATAGGAACATTCGAATTGAACCAAGACAGGTACAAATATTTGAATATATGTTAATTTGACATTGAATGGGACTTGTGCTTCCACAATCATTCTAGCAACTGTGATGTAACTGTGGCAGTGAGATAAAGAGTTACCTATCATGTCACTGTGTCTTTCTTGATATTCAATCTGACAACTACCCTGACTGTAAAATAAGGTAGGAGTTATCTTCCACTATGTTTTATACAAGGCCCTTTCTTGGTGTTCAATCTGACAACTGTGATGTAACTAAGATAAGAGTTATCTCTCCTGTCGTTATGTCAACAGGGCCATTTCTTGGTGTTCAATCTGACAATTGTGATCTGACTGTGGAAGTGAACAAGAGTTATTTCCCGTGTAACTATGCCTACTGGGCCCTTTCTTGGTATTCACTGTCAACTATGGTCTGTGAGGGGATAGGACAAGAGTTACTTCCCCTGTCACTATGTCTATAAGATTTAATTCATTCTCGGACTCAAAAACATCATAATTATTAAAACTTGGTGCCTTTTATTTTTGACATCTATGAATCTCATATTCCATTACATAAACAAGTGCTTCATACATGAGACAATAATTGTTTACCCAAATTCCCATCAACATTTTCCAACAATTCTTCCTTTGAGTAGACACTACCAAGAACATCAACTTTTAATCACATTGTAGGAACAGGACTTACCTATTAAAATAATACTTGTGAATGTGTCTCTTATTACAATATTATACAATTATACAACCTTTGAAAATTACAATAATACTGGTTATAATGGATATATACTTCTGAATATAATCTAAAATTGAGTTAAATACATCGACAAGATACATGCAATGCATAGCAAATTGTTTAAGAGAATAAATGGCACAAACGTAAGTTAATTAAAAGTATGAAATTCTTAACCATATCTGTATCAATTCAAAAGATCTACTTCATACAGTCTAAGTTAATCTAAATTAACCTTCTTAAAAAATCCATCACACTAGAAATTGTTCACAATAAATAGCTCTACATATTAGTACTATTGATGCATTACAATTCTAAAACAAAAACAAGAGTAAAAAAGAAACATTCTTAGCTCATGACCATTTATCCCTCCAATTCGATATTCAAATAAATTTAAGGAAGTTATGATTGAGCATGCTCAGTAAAAAGACTTGAGGTATAAACAAATAGATTGAAGCAAAATCCGCTTGAGTTAAAAACTGTCTCCCTGGGACACGGATTCCGTGCCTCCACACCGTTTTCTGTGTGCAAGGGTTCCTCACATTCAGACTCTGATTCCGTGTCCGTGTCCTGGCCATGCAGAACCAGGCTTTTTGAAAACTCCTGCGGGTTTCTTGTGTTATCCGTGCCCAAGCCCTGCCTATTCCACCTCAAACTTTCGTACGGCAATTTGCATCTAATGACTTATTAAAACATAATCAACACATCTGACTTAATCTCCAATAAAATTTATGTAATATACATGTATTAAATTTTACACTCGGTATTGAAACACTATGACAAGCCCTTTATTGTTTTCCGACCACAGTGTAGACTTGTATGATGATAATCTGACTGGATGGTTCACTTCATTCTGTGTCAGTAAGAATTTCAAAAATTCCCCGTCAGGAATCAGCAGATGGATTTGGTTGTGAGGTGGTTCTGTAACAAGGATGCTACAGAAAGAGTCACACATTACGACATCTGGACTAAAGCTCTTTGTCAGATTTTACATTGTGTAATGAAACACTTTGACAAGCCCTTCCATATTTCCTACCCACAGCGTAGACTTGTACAGTGATAATCTGGTTGGATGGTACATTTCATTTTCTGTCAGTAAAAACTTAAAAAATTCACCGTCAGGACTCAGCAAATGGATCTGTATATCGTTCATGTCAGTAACAAGAATGTTACAGAGGGAGTCACACACTGCAATACCTGGCCAAAAGTCCTCTGTCAGGTTTCGTCCACGGTAAACAGACTTCATACGACCAGAAGTAGACATAATCACTAGTTCACCTGCAGTGGGATTTGTACGGTTCACAACACAGATATCACTGTTGCTGTTCTGTGTGACACTGAATGGATATGTAAACAGTCTAGTCTGACCGTCCTCCTGGTACTCAAACTCATGGATGACATCACCTGTCACTTTGATGTGTCTCACCAAACTTCTACTGTGTGACTCTAATTTGTAACGATCTGATTCATTGTCTCTCAAGGTACGCATGTGAGTTAAGGCTAGGTATAGGCGTTTCTATGCAAATGAGCTAAATAAAAACGCGTAAGATGTATATTTATTATTCAAAGAATGTTTTGATTTATTTTCTTATGCATACTTAGTACCCACGAGATGTTATAGCCAGTGCACATTATGACGTCATATTATGACGTCACTGATCTTACCTACTGGAGGTAATATAACACATCAACAAAACGGCCTCGGCGCAAGAGATTACCCTATTTATTTTTATATAAAAATTGTATAATGCTAATAAGGATATTCTATAGATTAATAAAACTGCTGCACAAATCCTAGACATTTTCTCATTTGATCGGAATTTGAAGAAACTGATACCGGACTGTACATTTTTACCCCAATTCAACTTAAAACTTTACAAATAGATATTATACAACTGAGCTGTTGATATTTGTGCAGCAATACCAGAAAACATTGGAATATTTTGCGTCTAAATATACCTTGTTTCAGCTAAATAAAATAGAGCATGCCCTTGCGCCGAAGCATTTTTGTTGATATCCATTATAATCTTGTGTAGTAAAGAACACTGACGTCATAATATGACGTCATAATGCGTACTGGCTATCTCATGTCGTGGGTACCAAGTATGTATTAGACAATAAGTTTTAATTTTCTCTGTAAAAAAGATATAGTCCTTAGGCATTTTAATTAGTTTATTTGCATAGAAATGCCTATATCTAGCCTTAACTCACTTGCGTAACCAGTAGTCCACCATCCACTGACTGACAGATTCCTATTGGTGCCAGTGGATCTGTACTGATGACTGTAGAGACAGATCCTGATGGTGACAGACAACTGATGGTATTGTTACTAAAATCAGTAAAATAAACATCACCAGTATCAGTCACACACATGTCATTAGCAGTGATATTATATTGATGCTTTTTCTCCCCTTCTTTGTTTACTTGTTCAATGTAATCTGTCTCTAATTGTTTTATGTAACACTGATCTTCACACAATGCCCTCAACAAAATTACTGCTTCCTCTCCATATTTGAATGAGCTTGTTTCAGTCAAACTGATATCATCTAAATCACAATACTTTCCAATTAAGTTCTCCAGTACCACATCACTGACTTCTCCTTTACTGTATCTCACTGATGGTGTAATATTCTTCATATCAACATCCAGACCTGACAGCAGTTGTGTCAGTTCTTTGTGGTTGTCAATCAAGCCGTAATCTGACATGGTACTGTTGTTTTCCTCCATGAACTTAACTATGTCAGCAATTTCTTTCTTCTTTTTGTTTAACTCAGATTTTGCAACATCCAACTTTTCAATGCTTTTCTTCAAATTCTCTCTAAATTGTTGTTCCTTATGTTCCTTGATATTTGTCATCCGGGCCATTATCTCATTATAATGCTTCTGAAGCTTTTTAATCTCAGAGTCACACACTTCTTCATTTGCTTTGATCTTTTTTGACATCTTCTTTAGCTTCTCATCGATACCTGGCAATTCTTCTTCCTTAATCTTCCTCAGAAATTTAAGTAGACCTCTCCTTCTTTTGGTGGCTGCTGTGGGTAGAGTGTTCCAGTCATGATCTCTATGATCTGTTTTGGCACACTTATTACAAATGAATTCATCACAGTCCTCACATATAACATCAATAGGTAAACCATGGGTTTTACACATTTCAATATGCTCCTGAGGAGAGCCCAGTGGATATTTTAGTTTACTAGCTGCCATGTTTGTTGAATGTTGTCTACCTATCTATGACCTAGAAATGAGACAAAAGTTAGGTAGCTATATGCGCTATTAAGCATATTGGATTTTAAACTCATACTTGTGTTCCAAATTGACAAGACGTGCAATGATAAGATAGCTTGAAGGTGCACACTGTCAAATTATCATTAAAAACAAGGTAACTTTAAATCTCCCATGACAATAAAACCAGAATGAAAATATACACTGCATAAATAGCAGCTAATTCAATGTGACAAAAATCAATAAATGTGTAAATCATACACCTGTAGATCTTTCTTTAAATTCAGATTTAAAATCATTTTACACTTTACTGGGTCTAGACTTCTTTAATTTTCATATTTCAATGCATTACATTTTGTAAAATTTATTCATTTAGTTTAAGAAAAAAAATTTAATCAACCATCCGATAAATTCTGATTTACTAGTGCATGTTTATGCTATTTGTGCTTCCACAATGATGCTAGCAACGTAGACGTAAAGAAAATGTACGAGTTACCGATGTATTGATGTGGGCGTGTACCTTGTCATGGACATTTCCTTTCTTATGTTCAATCTGACAACTGTGGTGTGACTGTAGGAGGTAAGACATGAGTTACCTCCCGTGACACTATGTCTACAGGGCTTTCTGTCAACTATGAATCGGAGGAGGTATGACAAGAATTACCTCCCATATCACTCTGTCTGTAAGATTTTATTCACTCTCAAACTCTAACAAATCATAATCACTAAAACTTTGTGCCTTTCAATTTTGGCATCAATGTATCTTTCATATTCAATTACATAAAAAACTGTGTCATATATAAAACAAAATTCCACAGGTGCTTTTATACCCATATTCTCAAACATTTATTGGCATTTCTTCCTTCATAAACCTAAAGCTTCCTTTGAACAGCCACTACCAAAGATATCAACTGTTAATCACATTGTAAGAACAATACTTAATTACTTATTAAATAAGTATTTTGTTATGCTATTCTACAATTACACTTTAAAAATCAAAATATTTCTGATATAATGAATATACATGTATACTTTTAAATACAACAAACAAATTACTTGAATATATAGACAATATACAAACAGTGCATAGCAAATTCTTCAAGAGAAAAAAATGGCAGATAAATTAATGAACCAAAAGAATGAAATTCTTAACCATGCCTGTATTATTTCAATAGGTCTACTTCATACAGTCTAAATAAGGACTTTCCAACACAAAATCCATCACACTAGAAATTGTTTATAATGAATAGATCTGCAGTAATATTATTGATGCATAGCAAAAACAAAGGCATCGGATAAAAGCGGTCTTACTAGACAAATTAGTAAACTGTGCAGAGAAAAAAACACCAAAAAATATAAAGCAGGTCACTCATGAGTATGTACTCATTTGAAATTTTAAATATTCACCATATATGTGATGTCTAATACATATATATATATATATATATATATATATATATATATATATATATATATATATATATATATATATATATATATTGGATCACCCTGTATGAGAGTTTCCGAATTATATACACCCACAGACTAAATATCATATGCTTATGCTTAGCTTAAAATATTAGAAATAATGATACCCCAGCCCCCCTCCCCCAAAAATTAAAATGTTGTACATGCATATACTTTAATTGAAAAATTGTTAGATTATCTATGTTTTGATAAAGATGCTGTTGCCAATACAGTAATATACATGTACTGAATTTATCTTAAAATGTAATGCTTATTTTATTTAAACTCAGGTGTGACAGAATTTTTCTTTGGGTACCAATATTTTTTTTTATTTCTTGACATCACCTTGGAGTTTGACCTTCAAATGAGGAATTTTAACCTTCCATCGCCATAACCTGCCACATGGGGGTAAAAGTGTTTCACAAAAACATCTTGTTCTTTATTGAATTGTAAACCTTACCCCCTACTTTTTAAATAAAAAATAAACTACGAAAGATATCGAATGGTCATATTTTGGCCTTCTCCTAATACTCAGCCTTATTTTATCTGGTTAAAATATCAACACATCCTTAATACTATGACAAGAAAGTATCTTTTGACAAACCTTTTACAAAATACAAAACAATTATCGCACAAATAATTATGCTGTACATGTATCTACCATAATTTCTAATTCTTCTTTATTCAATTATTTCTTTATTATAATAAAAATCCATAAAAGATTTTATTTTAACCTTTTTGTCTCCCAACTAACACTAACTGTTAAAACTCTATAAAGCCAAGGGAGTGGAAATTTTAAATATGATTTAAATATGATAAAACATCAAGCAGTTAAGTAGAGGTATATGAGTATTGGTGGATAACAGCAAATACTGTATCTAATATTGTTGTGACGGTACATATTGTCGTTTTGTACATATTGTCGTCGGCGACAATATGTACCGACCCTCTCTGCACATAGCAAATTGTTTAAGAGAATAAAATGGCACAAACGTAAGTTAACTAAAAGAATGAAATTCTTAATCATATCTGTATCAATTCAAAAGATCTACTTCATACAGTCTAAATTAATCTAAATAAACCTTCTTAAAAAATCCATCACACTAGAAATTGTTCAGAATAAATAGATCTACATATTAGTACTATTGATGCATTACAATTCTAAAACAAAAACAATAGTAAAAAAAGAAACATTCTTAGCTCATGACCATTTATCCCTCCAATTCGATATTCAAATAAATTTGAGGAAGTTATGATTGAGCATGCTCAGTAAAAAGACTTGAGGTATAAACAAATAGATTGAAGCAAAATCCGCTTGAGTTAAAAACTGTCTCCCTGGGACACGGATTCCGTGCCTCCACACCGTTTTCTGTGTGCAAGGATTCCTCACATTCAGACTCTGATTCCGTGTCCGTGTCCTGGCCATGCAGAACCAGGCTTTTTGAAAACTCCTGCGGGTTTCTTGTGTTATCCGTGCCCAAGCCCTGCCTATTCCACCTCAAACTTTCGTACGGCAATTTGCATCTAATGACTTATTAAAACATAATCAACACATCTGACTTAATCTCCAATAAAATTTATGTAATATACATGTATTAAACTTTACACTCGGTACTGAAACACAATGACAAGCCCTCTATCATATCCCAACCACAGTATAGACTTGTATAATGATAATCTGACTGGATAGTTCACTTCATTCTGTGTCAGTAAGAACTTCAAAAATTCCCCGTCAGGAATCAGCAGATGGATTTATTTGTTAAGTGGGTCAGTAACAAGGAGGTAACAGTGGGAGTCACACACTACGACATCTGGACTAAAGCTCTTTGTCAGATATTACATTGTGTACTGAAACACTTTGACAAGTCCTTCCTTATATCCCACCCACAGTGTAGACTTGTAGAGTGATAATCTGGTTGGATGGTACACTTTATTTTCTGTCAGTAAAAACTTTAAAAATTCACCATCAGGACTCAGTAGATGGATCTGTACATCGTTCATGTCAGTAACAAGGATGTTACAGAGGGAGTCACACACTGCAATACCTGGCCAAAAGTCCTCTGTCAGGTTTCGTCCACGGTAAACAGACTTCATACGACCAGAAGTAGACATAATCACTAGTTCATCTGCAGTGGGATTTGTACGGTTCACAACACAGATATCACTGTTGCTGTTCTGTGTGACGCTTCGTGGAAATGTAAACAGTCTGCTTTGACCGTCCTCCTGGTACTCAAACTCATGGATGACATCACCTGTCACTGTGATGTGTCTCACTAGACGTCTGCTGTGTGACTCTAATTTGTAACGATCTGATTCATTGTCTCTCAAGGTGACCAGTAGTCCACCATCCACTGACTGACAGATTCCTGCTGGTGCCAGTGGATCTGTACTGATGACTGTAGAGACAGATCCTGATGGTGACAGACAACTGATGGTATTGTTACTAAAATCAGTAAAATAAACATCACCAATATCAGTCACACACAATTCATTAGCAGTGATATTATATTGATGCTTTTTCTCCCCTTCTTTGTTTACTTGTTCAATGTAATCTGTCTCTAATTGTTTTATGTAACACTGATCTTCACACAGTGCCCTCAACAAAATTACTGCTTCCTCTCCATATTTAAATGAGCTTGTTTCAGTCAAACTGATATCATTTAAATCACAATACTTTCCAATTAAGTTCTCCAGTACGGCATCACTGACTTCTCCTTTACTGTATCTCACTGATGGTGTATTCTTATTCATATCAACATCCAGGCCAGACAACAGCTGTGTCAGTTCGCTGTGGATGTCAATGAAGCCGTCATCTGACATGGTGCTGTTGTTCTCCTCCATGAACTTAATTGTTTCTGCAATTTCTCTCTTCTTTTTGTCTATCTCAGATATCAAAATATTCAACTTTTCATTTTTTTTCTTCAAATTGTCTCTTAATTGTTGTTCCATATGTTCCTTGATTTCTGACAGCTTAGATATTATCTCATCATAATGCTTCTGAAGCTTTTTTATCTCCGTCTCACAAAGTTTTTCTTTTTCTGAGATTTGATTTGACATCTTCTCGATCTTCCCATCAATTCCAGGCAGATCCTTTTCCTTAATCTTTGTCAGAAATTTAAGTAAACCTCTCCTTTTTTGACTGGCTGCCGTGAATAGAGTGTTCCAGTCATGATCTCTATGATCCGTTTTGGCACATTTACCACAAATAAATTCATCACAGTCCTCACATATCACGTCAATAGGTAAATCATGGATTTTACACATTTCAATATGCTCTTGAGGAGAGCCTAGTGAATACTTTAGTTGGATGGCTGCCATGTTGAATGTCATTCTCTATCCAGAGTTGTCTTCCGCTACACTCACAACACGTGTATGTAGGAGCGTAGCAGGAACGACAACTCTGGATAAAGAATGGTAGAATGTCTGACCTAGATATGAGGTTATCACAATGACAAGGCACATTGGCGGATTTATAGGGATGTTTCTCACCTAAAGAAATCAAAGATTAGGTCACATGTATACAAATATAAAGGAAAAACTTTACTTCTCTCAGGGACCTTCAGTAGCCTTGGATAGTGAAGAAGAATAACTATTTACACCGGGTAAAAATGTCATTGGTTGATCTACAACTTCACAGATGATTTGCAAATTTAAAAAATTTCTCAGGAAAATAAAATGACACACTCAAAACAAACCAATAAAAAGAAACGAAAACAAAAACAGAAACTTTTTTCCGGGGTGCATGGGGTGGGGTTAGGGGAGTAATGAAAATTTCTAAAGCACTAGCTTTTATACAAGATACAAGATATTTATTTACTAATCAAGGGCCCCGAGAGGCATTTCCACATATATACATGTAAATGCACAATTTAAACATAAATCACAATATACATTGTTTGGTTTTTTATATATAAACAGTTATATAGATAACCAAGCTACATTGTATTCAGTGTTAATGATCATAGACAAAACAAGTGTTAAGTGTCAAAATTATTGTTATTGATCACAAGACAATACAAATATGTTATGTTACAATATGTTCATACATGTATTTATTATGGAATTCCATATACGACAGCCAACTGCTTACTGTCAACTGCCAGCTGCTTTCTGCCAACTGCTCACTGCTTACTGCCAACTGCCAGCTGCTTTCTGCTAACTGCTCACTGCTTACTACCAACTGCCAACTGCTTCCTGCCAACTGCTACTGGGTTTAGATAATCTTGCGTGTTTTATTATCTTTAATATCTTTAATGCGCATGCTTGAATAAACCCTATTAAAGGAAGGATATTACAATAATTTACAAAAAATGGCGGATCCAGAAAGTTTTAAGCGAGGAAGGAATAAATAGGAGGAAAGAGTATTTCCCCTTATTTAAATACAAAACATCTAATTCCCACATTTCCTTGCAAGCAAATAATTCAATAGCTTTTTTGAGGGGGAAAGATTAAAGGTTTATATAACGTCAGAAAATAATGGGGGGGGGGGGGAGTGGAGTGGAGGACAACCTCTTAGTAGGATCTTGGGTTCATTCATTTATCTTTTATTTCCTCTATTACAGAGATTTGTTTAGCATGGCATCATATCTTTAATAATCATAGATTAATCATAATGTATGGAAAAAAAAAGAAAGAATAAATACATACAACTGGCGTCGGAATTTCATAAATATTATGGATTGTGTAGAGGACTACGCCAGGCGATGGGCCAGACATGAAAAAGAAGACCTTGACACTTTGTCAGAATGGATTAAATGTATCGAATGTGTGTTGAAATAGCGCATTGAAAGATTGAGGGGTAATATGAAAACCATCTATCCTTCTGTATTCAATAATCCAGAAGTGAAAAAAGAATTAGATAGATCACATGATCAGTACGTAGTGGTCCCTGCTGACAAAGCAGGTAACAACATTGTCTTTGTTTGTAAGGCTCATTATATTAAATGTATTTTAGAGGACATTGGATTTAATTCTACAAGTGGTAATCCTACTTATACTCATAGCTCCCTTTCTAAGGAAGAAATTCTTCAAAATCATATGTCAGTTTTGAATATTTTTAATATTCCAAACAACCAAAATGAATTTGAATTACCATATTTATATTGGATTCGGAAACTTCATAAAAATCCTTACAAACAAAGATACATAGCGGGTTCCAGTAAATGTTCAACCAAGCCTCTTTCTTTACTCCTCTCTAAGATATTAACAGTGGTGAAGGAGAAACATCACGAGTACTGTGCAACAATATATTCGAGAAGTGGTGTAAATCAGATGTGGATACTTAAAAATTCCAAGTAACTTTTGGAAAACTTGAAATCACAAGATTTTACCAAAATCAACAGCTTAAAAACTTACGACTTTTCAACTTTATACACAACCATTCCCCACGATAAATTAAAGTCCAGGATTTTTGATATCATTGACAGCTGCCTTTTCAATAAAAATGGAACTCGTAAATATACTTACCTTGTCATTTGTCATTTGCAAAATTATTTTGAAAAACATTCTGATTGTACACACAAGTACTCTGATGTTAACATTAAAAAGATGCTTGAGCTTCTGATTGACAATATCTATGTGTTTTTTGGAGACCAGGTCTTCCAACAATCTATTGGAATTCCCATGGGTACCAATTGCGCCCCGTTATTAGCAGACCTTTTTTTTGTATTCATATGAAGCAGAATTTGTCAAAAATCTTTTACGTGAAAAGAAGAAAACACTTGCTGTGGCCTTCAACTCGACATTTAGGTATATCGACGACGTATTGTCAATGGCTATTTCCATTCTTATGTCGATACGATATATCCTGGTGAGCTTGAGATAAAAGATACCACAGGGTCTGACACATCTGTTTCATATTTGGATATTTTGCTTGAAAAAGACGTTAATGGTAATCTAACAACCAAGCTTTATGATAAACATGATGACTTTAACTTTTCAATCGTCAACTTCCCTTACTTATGCAGCAATATACCTTCATCACCTGCATACGGGGTATATATCTCTCAGTTGATTCGATACGCAAGAGCATGCTCTACGTATGTATAATTTCTAAAACGAGGTAAATTATTGACAAACAAGTTGATGAAACAAGAATAACAGCTGTCTCGTTTAAAGTCATCATTTCGTAAGTTCTATGGTCGATACAATGACCTTGTCAGCAAATACAATTTATCATTGAGTCAAATGCTGACTGACGTTTTTCATACTAATTGTTAAGCCATTATTTACACACTGAATTGTCGACGGATTTTTCCGTTATTTCCCGATCATGACAAGGAGCACACGGCGGGTGTGACCGGTCGGCAGGGGATGCTCACTCCTCCATGGCACCTGATCCCACCTCTAGTGTTTGGAGGTTCGTGTTTGCTCTGCTCCTATTTTTTATTGCTTAATGGACTTTTGAGCTTGAATACTGTTCGTTATCTCCATATATTTCATTTAAGGTAATGAAAGAAAAAAGAAAATCAAAAAGAAAAAAAAGTACCCGCGGGGGGGGGGGGTGCACAACCCAACAGAAATCCCTTGACAAGTAATAAAAAGGTCACAGGGTGCACTACTGTATAGTATATGTTGGCAATTTACTGGGGACTTGCCCCCACTCCCACCACCAATGTTTTTACCGATCTGACGTTAGCCATGAAAACGATTTAATTAAAAGATATAAGTGCTGGATATATCCCCCCCCCTCCCATCGCGTCAAAAAACTAATGAATTATCTGCCTGCAAGGAAATGTGGGAATTAAATGTTTTGTTTTTAAGAGGAAATATTCCTTCTTCCGATTTTCCAAAAGATGGCCTACTGCCTATTCCATAAATTGACCAATCAATGGAGAGATTCACAAGTGTAAAAAATTAATTATAAAAATTACTTACAGCAAAATACTAATATTATTACAGTTATTCCAAAAGGATATAAACATAAAAATACTTTTTCTTTTCCAAATTTGTAACTTTTATAAAAATGTAAAAAAAAAAAAAAAAAAAATTCAAACCAACTGGGACCCATAGTGGATTGTGCATTATGATAGTGTAAAACGAGAAACGTCAGTTAACAATGTATGATGGACACAGTGTTAGCTATTCAGTCTACATGCGACTGCAAATAAATATAAACAATCGTATATGATCTCTATTTTGCAGCAATTAACTTAATGAAACCGCAAATACAGAAATACAGAAATCTTCATTTGACATTATCCATAGTAATCCATGTACATGTATATACACTTCGGTCAATTTTGTTTAATGAGCAGTATTAAAAATTTCTTATTAAGAAAATTATTATTGCAGCAAGATTCTAAAATTAGGAAGTGTATGTCATCTTCTCTTGAAATACAATATCCTTATAATTTCTTTTCTTTCGTAAAATTGAACATACTATCCTGGTATTTTCAAAATATGCCGATCGTTTTATTTATTATGTGGACTGGATAGGGGTACCGGTGTAACAATTCACCAATACCTAAAATAAGTATAAATATTCTCTTAGGTAGTTCCCAGAAATGTATAATTCACAAGTTTGATTTAAAATTACAGAATTTGAATAAGTATGTCAAATTACAGTAAGGGTTTTCTTTCTTCCAGGAATTTAAAAAAGAATATTTTTACCTTGCTTTTATGTTAGAAAGTACTGGAGGCTATTTAAATCAATTTGTTGAAAAAGAAAACAATACTGAAATGATCAAATGTACATTTTTTCTATCAAAATTAAAAAAATATTTTAATAAAAAACTGATAAATTAATGTAAAATCTTGTCATATCCTATACATGCATTGTGATATATTTTTCTGAAAGAGGGTGTTGCAGAAACTTGCGATTATTCCCTAAATCGAGAAAAACATTTAAATACCCACGACGCATGAAGAGTTATCTCTAAATATAGATAAAGCTACGTAGATGACTTTATTTATACGACGGGTATGTCCAGCTTGTTATAACAAAACATTTCACATATCACGTTTACATTTAATTCATGCATAGTTTTTCCTAAGTAAGAACGATAAAAAGCACAATTAAATGAACCTCGCACAGTATTTTGAAAGATGTAAAGTACACAGCATGCGTCAATATTTTTTCAAAATATAAAAATGTGTCCCATAGTCACGCTGTTGATGCAATATGCAAGAAATTCCATTAAGTCATTTCAATTTAGTTGTTTCAAGTCAAATCTGAGCAACTAATTAACAGAATAACAATGAAACGAAAAGAGTATGTAAAAATTAAACGAATTGTTTAAAATGATAGTACTTTATTTTTTAAGACATCGCCAATAATTAATAACATTACATGTATGTTTTATTAGTTTTAGATCACA